GTCATTCAGCACGTTCTCAGTATAAGCCGCAATTTTAAGAATCTTTGTTTTCTCCCCAAGAGCCAAAACAAGATTTCAGACACTGAATTGAAAGGCATCGTTCCCCAATGATTCGAAATCAGATAATCCGGCGATTTCGTTGGACCATCCGCTTTTAGTAAAAACACGAATTGCCTAGGTACCAGTGAGATCAATATGCGTTATGAAATGCAATAAACTGCCTTAAATCGTCGCGTTGCAGATTTTTCACTACTCAGGCATCGGCGGTTATCGCAACAAATTATTATCATGACGTGAAAATGCGTAGCAACAGGGCCGCTGCAGAGACAACCACTCACAGAGCTGATGAAGACATTATTAACAACTCACAGGGTCGACGCAAACACAATTAACCACTCACAGAGACGTTAAAGACATCACTAACAACTCATAGTGCCGATGAAGACATAACTAACCACCCACAGAGCCGATGGGGACATAACTAACACGATCGCGATCACGACACGATAACCCGACACGAACACGATCACGACAAGACACGATCATAACACGATCACTCGAGGCCCACCGTAAACACGAGCACCCGAAGCCCACAGTAAGTATTCCTTTCGCAGTGAGGAACAGATCTGTCAGGAAGAGCGGTCCACAATAGGCTGCAGCATCGGTCATGTTGGCCGTGGTGTCTGGTGATGGCGGCTCAGCGATTGCGCTGCCCGTCATCCCCCACACTAAACACTGACCTGCCGGACAACGGTCCGGCGAGGGACCAGTCTTCCGTCTTATACACTAGGTCCACCTTCTGGCGAGAGCCAACACATCCGAAGAATGGGCTAAACGGAGCGCTACGAAGGCACGCGGGTGATCGAATGCGCGACCGTCTGCTTCTAACTCCATCTCGACCACGCCCAGATACTGTGACTCGTGTTGGATGTCGGCACATCCATGCATCCCCCCAGTTTTTCGGTGTCAGACATGCCTCGTCCACATGTCGGCCGTCGGACCGCAGATGGGCACAGCCGGGACGCATGACCTTGGACGTGATCGCGTTCGCGATCATCATCTCGCCTCAACGTGCTTCGACGTCCTGGTCGAGGGCTCCACGTGCACTGTCTACAGGCTGAGACCGCAACTGTGCTGGACGTTGGTGGGGATTGCGGTGTAAGATTCCGAACACAGGCAAGGAACTTCCCTTGGAGAGCGCCGTTGGCTCACGTCTCGCCAGGTGACCGGCATGTGCGATGGCATTACGTTTGAGTAATGCTAGCTCATTCACAAGTTTTGCTCTTAAAGGCCACCAGCGTTCGACAGAAAACTTGTCGACAAGCCGCAGGTCACCAGCGCCTCCACATTATGAAGAGCTGCAAGCAAAAGCAATGCGACCAAAGAACTGGTCCTAAAGGCATACCGCCAGTCTCAAACGACGTGGGAACACCACACGCCGCGGACGCCAGGCACTGGCGCTGTCGATGCTCGTTCAGTGCATCTGAATAAATATCGGGCAGTCCACGACGCATTGAGCCCCCACATTGCAATACCTTTCAGCTGGTATGGCCTTGATCCATTTCGGCACGATTGCTGCGGTGTGAGACTTGTCAGAGCAACGGCCATGCGCGACCAGCGAAACTCAACTCCATTAAGGCAAGTCAAGTATGCTGCACTCAAGCCCTTCAATGCACTGAGAAAGTGGCGGCGTACCTTCAGCGCTCGGTGATTTTCCGTATCAATGAACTGCGAGGGGAGAGAAGGAAGCAGGCGGACGGCCGACCCTCCCTGAACTGCGAGAGGAGAGGAGGGAGCAGACGGAAGGCCGATCCTCCCTGAACTGCGAGTGAGGAGGGAGCAGACAGACGGCCGATCATTCCTGAACTGTGAGAGGAGAGGAGGGAGCAGACGGACGGCCGGCCCTCCCTGAACTGCGAGAGGAGAGAAGGGAGCAGACGGAAGGCCGATCCTCCCTGAACCGCGAGAGGAGAGGAGAGGGCAGACGGACGGCCGATCCTCCCTCATCTCGGAAAAACTAGCGTTGACCCCACAGCGTTACATAAAAGCAGATGAGCTAAAACCACGTTTAATCCCAATCGCCTCAGCGGAATCACCGTCCTGGCCACACCCAAAACGCCACACCCTCCGCGGCAGTGTCAGTACGCAGCCGCCACCATGCCGACCGGCGTAGAGCTGCCGGCGCGGTGGAGAGCTGTACCCGCACCCGGAGCGTGTGCTGACGTCGCTCTACCGAGCCGGCGCGCTGCCACTGCGCCACGCGCGCACTCTGTGTGGGTCGAACGGACGACGGTGGTCGACGGCGTCGACGGCCAACGGATCGGCGCGCTCTCACCGCGTCACACGCGCACTCTGCACCGGTCGACCGGAGGACGGTGGTCGACGGCCAACGGATCGGCGCGCTCTCACCGCGTCACACGCGCACTCTGCACCGGTCGACCGGAGGACGGTGGTCGACGGCCAACGGATCGGCGCGCTGGTCGGCCTGCGGGGGGCCAGGTGCACCGACACGGCACCACACTCCGCCCCCTGACTGCTGGCCGTATTGGGGACGAACCATGGACCCCGGTAAATGGTGCACTGGCGAGACATCAGCCGCGAATGCGATCGGCTTCAGATGGAAAACAACACTATCGCAAAACAGCTTTTGGCCTCGATGTGCCATTAACACGCTGTTTTTGGTGTGTGACAAGTGGGTGATGACTGAGATGACCATTCGCACTATGCAGGCACATGATACCACCATACACGAAGATGGAAGCAAACAACTCAGGAACCAGTACAAGAGGGTCCCAGCATTAAGCAATCTCCATTTCTTAGAGAGTTTCATCACAGAAAGAGGTTCGCTGATGCGACGATGGTCTTGAGCTGGCCATGCGCTAGGTCAAGACTAAAATTGCTTGACTAATCGGCGCCGATCGGCCTCAGGTTGGCACAGTTAGTCTGGCCGGGCCAGGCCATTTTACCCTGGGATATCGATGTAACTGATCGATAACGTACTTGATTGATGGCAATCCAAGCCGCCAATGCGCGCGACCTTTAACATCAGACAGCCCGAATTTAAAGCAATGGAGCCGAGTGATTTGTGCATCCTGCTTTCGTCTGCACCCTGCAAAAAGACCCACGTCTTTATCTGTTTGGGTTGCCGAAATCAATGTCATTCCTAAAAGCGGTCCTGACCGGCCAATCCGCGACTGGCGCTCCATTGCTCGTGGCCCGTTGCACGCAGTGACGTACGTCGCAGCACTACGACCGCCCGTGATTGCCTTTGTCATGTCATTGATCGTCGCTGAGACTCCGCCGCCCGCCTGGCTGCACCACCGTGCTGTCATCTCCCTCGTTTACATCTGTGTCTCGCTTCGGCCTAGGTGTGCAGCATTTTCACAACTTGCAAAGCATATGTTCGCGATGCTAACGCAAAAAGGTGTGCAAAATTTAGGCCGTACTGCAAAGTTGAGATTCTTCATTTTCCAACCAACTCTTCTTCATTCCTTCCTTCTTCCATCCATTTCCATTTCCACAGCCATTCTTCAACAAATGTCTTGCAAGCGAACGTCTCGCAAATGTAACAGCACGCAATCTTTGAAAAAAGAACTACTATTTGTTGCTGATGATTGTGCGGCAGCACAGCTGTTTGCAATTAATAAATCGTCAAGTGCGATAACCGGGCCCGATCGGGTTAGCAGAAGGGAGCATTTCTCAGTGCAAGTACGAGTCACTTCATCTTCGGCATCGCTCGCAACGTCAACAATGAAAAAAATACTTCATTGCAATGCAGGGCGCGAGGGGGGGGGGCAGTCGGCGCGCCGGCGTTGGCAGGTCGGGGCGGCGCGCCAGGACGTCGGCTCGCATCATCCCCTTCCAGGGACGCCCGGCAGCGGGACACGACCGGTAGGTCCACCCCCACTCGGCCGCGCCGCAAGCTGCTGCCGCTGCAGCGACACACTGGCCAAGAGTCGGCAGCCGCTGGAGCGTGCTGTGAACCTCCCCTACACGTCCACGACCGGTGCCAGTGCAAATTGGCAGCAAATGAGGTCTCATGAAATCACTCGCCGACCGCACAGCACCCCGTCGCCGGGGTTAGCACATTAATGCCAGTGGGCCAGGTTGAGCTCGCTCCCGCGCTTGGCGTCCTGGACAGCAGGGGCCCACCTGCGACGTCATTGCCGACCGACACCGAAGCGATCACTGTCCCCAGGACGGGAGAGAGCTGTGAAATTCCTGTATTTAAGCCGACGAATAGCTCAAACAGCGAAATGGTAATACCACTAATCGTGCATCATCACAAGCAGACCGACTGGACTGCATTGAGATCTCCGGGCCACAACTCTTGCCTCTGTCGAATGGCAAGCCTTATCACGCCGGCAGGAGTGTTTATCCCCGCGGGCGGGCGGCTTTCCTCAGCTCTGCGCTGTGGCGTGTCCGATGGTGACGCGGCGCACGCGCCGGCGCCGGTGACAGCTCGCTGCCGTGGCGGACACGACCTCGCGGGCACGTGTCAGAAATCGATCGACGGATCCGGCAAAATGGCGGTTGGCGGCGATGGGGTGGTGTCAGGCAGACCGACGCTGGTTGATGTGCGCGGAACGCGAAGGCGGACGACGCCTTCATAGATCCGTGCGTCGACATACGCCCGCGGATCGAGAACACACTCACGTTACGGCGCTCTTCACGATCGGGCGCCAGCTATGCAAGACGTGCATGTTGGTCCCATGAAGACGTCATATGCTTAGGTCCTCGTACGAATTACTTGTGGACGAAACATTGATTACTTTATCATCGGTTATCACAACCAGAAAAACCTGATAGAGACAATTACCATACGATACTCGAAAGCCTCAGGTATGCAAGATGAACCATGCTAGTCTACAAAGGATCCCAAAATTGAAATGGCCAACAACATTTAGCGTGATAAACATGAGATGTCTGGGTAGCCCACAGTACTCCACAACTCACTTCACTGCCGATTCTATGGACCTCCATGCTCCAAATGGACTTACCTTTCGAGATTAGCATTTGGTGCAGCGCCCTTGGCGTCCTGAAAACGGAAATACGCTGGTTAATTGCGGACCTGTGATCCAGAGACTCACGTCTCCAGGCAGACCCGTGATCCAGAGGCTTACGTCTCAAGGCAGACCAGTGATCCAGAGACTCACGTCTCCAGGCAGACCTGTGACCCAGAGATTCACGTCTCCTGCGGACCATGAGATCCAGAGCCTCGTCTCCAGGCAGACCTGTGATCCAGAGGCTCACGTTTCCAGACGAACCTGCGTTGCAGTCCTGAAGCATCTCTATCCGACATGATCTCAAAACGCCATAAGTTTCCAGGGATAAATGCGAAATGCCGAGACGCGGAAGGATAAACGACGATGATTGAGATTCCCATTACCGTGACGGACTTGGAACACCCAGGTCGCCAGACATCTATGATTACCTTTGGGCCTTAAGCTTTCACGTGGAAAAGCCAGGTTCGATTACATGGCCTCTGAGCGCTGATTACCACAACTGCATTTGGCGCTCCATAAAGGGTTGCACAACGACGTGCGTCTCCCCCCCCCCCCCCTTCCCCCCTTCCCTTGATCGGCCGCTGCTCCAATCACGCGAGGCATCCGCACAGTAGTTTCTGGCGAAGTTTGACCCGAGCCAGGTGAGCATCACCCCGACTGAACCTAGAGCACACGCTTAAGTGCGCACATGTCTGCCTGCAGGGCAGTCTCCCACATGACGAGTGCCGCTCGGACACCACCGTCGGCCCGCAGTCAGCCACCCGGTGGCGTCGGGCACGTGCCGGCCCGATCGCTCACCAGCGCGACGTGAGCACTGGGCGCGCCATCCGAGGCGCACGTGCTGCCGGGCGCGCCGCGGCCGTCCTCCGACAGAATGCCGCGCTTCAGATCCTCCAGCTGCTGCAGGCTGAGCTGCAGCCTACTGATGGTGTCGTCGATGATGCTGTGCGGCGGGCTGCGGCTGGGGTCAGGCTCCGGCTCTGACTCGGGCCCTGGCTTGGCCGGCCGGCCAGGCCCCGCCACCGCCACCGCCACCGCCGCCACCGGCTCGGTTGTGCCATGCACAGTAACTGCCAGCAGCAGGCTGTGGAGGGAAGTCCGGGTCAGGTGGGATTAGGCTGATCAGCCTGCTGAGACACTGCCGCACAGACAAAAAGCAGCTTCTTGACATGAAATAACACCTCAGTTTTAACTGCTAGTGGCCTGGTCCATATTTGCCAATGTCAGATTTTGGCCATCAAGTTATTTTGTAAATACTTTTCACTGCCTGCCTCTGCTTTAGAACAACAAAAAAGCTAGTGTGACCCATGTAGTGAAGCCAGATGTGGGAGTTCAACCCACTGCAGACTAGCAATTTAGTGTGGTTTTGCAAAATGTGGAGGTGATAGGAAATGAACATGGGGTACACGAAGAACTGTGCAATTACCTAAAAAGAAAACTTGTCCATCTAATGCCATCATAAGAAGGCTCTTAAATTGTTGGTGAGGATGGCCATGGCTTCAGCATTAAGGTCAAATCAAATTGGTGTGGAAAATGTGGACCAGCATTTTAATAACCTGAATCACCCAGAAGAGTGGACCACATTGTGGCTGTGAACTAGTGCCCATATAACATGAGGATTCCTCTTCTTAGACACATGCCACAAGGAGAAGCACTGTCTAGACAATAACACTGAAAAGGCAATCCAGCAGCTCATTCACACTGGTGAGCAAAACATGTTCAAAACATCAGGAATTGCTGCATCATGATATGCAACATGAGATGCATTTTTAAGTCACCTTAAACACTTGTGCTGCAAATGGGTTGGGCCTTTACATAAATGGTAATTAGGTTTAACTTGTCAGACTGCATCATTTTGAGAGAAACCTAGGCTACTTTGTACAGGCCACATTTCATAAAAATGCAGCACATTACTAACACATCATGGATTTTCCATTAATTTGGGATACAGTTTGCTCTTTGCAATATCCTATCATGGATTGTGCCACAATCAGGATTTGTTTCAGTAACATTTTACAACCTATAGCAATAAAGGACAACCAGCAATACCATGATGAAATCCTTCCAGCACAAACAAACCTACATACCAAACCATGGATGATTGAGATGCAGTCATCACAGCTTCACGGCTCTCTGGTGCTTTCAGGAGGCAGATGTTAACCCATGAGCAGGTCTGGAAGAAGAACAACTTATGAAACAATACAATGTGAAGATAACACAGTCTCGCTAGCAGGATGACACCATCATCAGACGCCTGTATGTCATACATCCCAGGAGGCACCCAATTTTGCTTCCATGTGGGGCAGGTTTTGGAGTTTTTCACTAAAATGGAAACAAGGAAAAAGAAAAAAATTTAAAACCTAACAGCTTTGCATTCACAAACAGGCAAAATTAAAAGAAGCATGAAACATTCTCAACCGTTTCTCTGCAAAACCCTTCTGACGGGCCGCTAACCCTGTATTCTCGGATAATGTCTCACTTCTTTTGTTGAGCAGAATCATACCTGACATCAACTTCAAAGAGTGTACTTATCATCAGATATATCAAACGACAAGGAGAAATAGTGATAGACTCGCTTACCTGTACAGACAACACGCAAGTACTTAATACCCTTAACTTGCACCTCCCCAATGACACTCGCTATCAGAGTGGCAAGCCAGCCGAATTGGGTATCATCCAGGGCCCAAAGTCTAGTACAAAATATGGTAGCAAAGGCGTACATTTTACGACGAGCCATAGAGTTCCATGTTAAAATGCTCGTCTTCAGATCCACGGTTTTCTAAATTTTGAACATATATACGCACAAAAAGTGTATAGAAATGTAGCTTGGGCAATTTTCTTTCAATTCCCTGGATCAAAAGTATGAGCCGTGGCACTCCTTTTCGAGCTATCAGGCATGACATAGACCCATGCACGCGTCCCGATGTCCAGGCGTAACATCGAATTTCGCTGCCGCCAGCTCTTTTCAGCAGAGTTGGGATGGAACACGAAGTGAATACGGTCACTGACTGGCGATAGAACTATTGAGTGCAACGATATTCTGATTGTATGCACACACACACACACATATATATATATATATATATATATATATATATATATATATATGGCTGTGCGTATACACCCTCCAAAACGTAGGGCGGTTACGCGCCGGGCTTATACACCCTCCAAAACGTAGGGCGGTTACGCGCCGGGCTTATACACCCTCCAAAACGGAGGGCGGTTACGCACCGGGCTTATACACCCTCCAAAAATCTTTCAGATGGTTGTACGTGTCAAGAATACGCGCATTGGCAGCCTTGGAGGCAAGGAAGTGCAAAAATGCAGAGTCCCGTGCGAGAGGTCGGTTCTATGCGTGATAAACATCAAACGATCACTGTGGTATTGTAGCGCAGTGAATTACGGCAGTGTTTCAACATGCTCCGCTGCGCCGTTTGGAAATATAACCCACTCACGAGTTGATTGCGACTCGGCGAGCGGCGTGCGTGGGATCGTGCCTGAAATTATGGTGTGTTTGGGGCTTTTGTGTGTTATGCACGAAAGCTAAAGAAGTGTATTGTACATGGTGCTGTTCCTGTGTGCGGTAGCCGTTTGGTAACCTGATGTTAATGTTAAAGGCACAGGTTTTTCTCCATGATTTTAGTGTAAGGCGGCATTGGGCCGCTAGTTGCAGGGCGTTGAGTACTTTGCCTGCTGTCTTGCACTATGCTTGTGTGTGTTGTGTTTCTATAGCTGCAGTTTTGAGGGCATGTATGAACCTGGTGGTACAAAATATACCGCATCGTTGTTATTACATGTTGTAAAGCTGATGCATCTCTTCAATTAATCCAGACACTGCTCAGATAACTAGCCTCTTTTTTATTTTTTGTTTGAAATCATTTTGAGGCATGATGCATGAGCAGTACAAATGACAGCTAGCAAACATAATGCCATGAATATTTGTGTAGGATTAGGTTGCAATCTCATCTGATCACACATTTTGGTTGTTTTGGGGACTGAATCCCATGTCACATGAATTTGTCATCATCACATCATCATCCTTAGGTATATGAGTGCATGTAAGCACATTATGTGATGGATATATAATTTCCATGAAAGTGATCAGATATGACACTTTTTGTAGCTGTTCCATTGCATGCTTTGTGGTCCAAGCTTCATATCTGGCCTCCTTTTTTTGATTTTTTGTTTGAAATCATTTTGAGACATGAGATATGAGCAGTACAAATGACAGCTAGCAAACATAATGCTGCAAATATTTATGTATAGGCTTAGGTTGCAATCTCATCTGATCACATATTATGGTTGTTTTGGGGACTGAATACCATGTGAGGTCAATTTTTCATGATCACATCATCCTTAGGTATATGAGTGCATGTAAGCACATTATTTGATGGATATATAATTTCCATGAAAGTGATCAGATATGACTATTTTTTGTAGCTGCTCCATTGCATGCTTTGTGGTACAAGCTTAATAACTTGCTGTATGAGTCTAATTATATCAAGGGTATCATAAAGGCCTAGCTCTTCATTTGAAACCTGATGATAACTATAGCACTCTAATTTTTTTGCTTAGATATACCAGGGACCTGCAATGAAATTGTCAGAAACAGGTACCCAAGAGGGAGGTGTGGAAAGAGGGGTGTCTGCAGTCTTTACGGTGAGAAGAACTGTCACAAGACTGTGCTGCTGTGAATAGACATTGGACATGCATTGGTGCCCTAAGCCACCAATAGTGAGAACTGTGCATGCTCTATAGAAAAGAAATGCTGTGACCAGGTCTTTTACTTATGTCCAGCGAACAGATACATGCACCCATACCCATAACATGACCAACAGAACAGCGTGTGCTGAACCACATTTCACACACACCATATTGCACGGCGGCACCAATGAGGTGGTCCTCCCCACAACCACACAACCAATCACATTCTTCATCGAACTGGTCCACCCAGGCCAGGAGCATCTTCCACGCAGATCGGGTGAAGCAATGTCCCAGAGATAGCAGTACATCTGGATTTGCTTTCAGCCTGCCGAGGTGGATGACATCCCAGGCCCGTACGTCCCCTTCACCGAACAGGCCTTCATTCGATGAGTTCTTGAGAATCCAGCGTAGCATGGCTGCAACAAGGGCCAGTAAGATATATTTTGCGCTATGGAACGCGCGAGATAATAGCAGAAGTGAACGTTACGGTGGAAGAGATGACCCAAGAGTAAAACATACGAAGCCAGTAACCCATGTAAAATTGTGAAACTAGACTTCCTCGCTGCGTTGCAGCATTAGTTTCTGATTCTTTGCAGGCAGCAGTGCACTGACATGCAGCGTGCGCGGGGTTCTGTTTCAATAGCTTTCACCTCAAAATTAGGTTGCCCTTGGGAATGACACGGGAGAATTATCATCGACGACATGCGGGACCTCGGACCCGTGTATACTTTTAGTACATGGTGCCCAAAGTATCACGAAAAGTGCGACTGTGTTTCATCTCAACGCCGTTACAATACACTATGTTGCGACCTCTATGCTCTTCACGGCTCAATCTTTCTCGTTTGAAGTCAAAACGTATTGCGTACATAGGAATCGTGGCATGGGCCGTTTCCCGTCGAATTAATGGGCCTTCGTGCCGGACGGTGTCGGGATGACATGACAATTTGCAAACGCCTTCACCAGGTGCTTCGTCGCACTTTTCTGTCCGCTGGAGGTCCCGGAGAACAAATCCTTATACGCTGAAGAAGGCGCAGCTATGTTTTAAGCTCGCAGGCGAGTGCCGGTCAACTCGAAGCCACAGGTTGGCCCGCAATGTTGGTAATACACTCACTGTTGACAAGCAGAAAGAGAAAGAGAGAGGAAGGGAGAAAGGAAAGGAGGAAGAGAAAGGGAGGGAGGGGGGGCGGGAGGGAGGGAGGGAGGAAGAGAGAGAGAGAGAGAGAGAGAGAGAGAGAGAGAGAGAAGGCGAAAGAGCAATAGAGCGATAGAGAGCAATAGAGAGCGATAGAGAGCGAAAGAGAGGTGTAAACCATCACTTGGCATGTAATATCCCAATTGTAAGTCGTCGCATCGCAGCTATCAACAGCGAAACTGCGTAACTTACCATTCTGCTTTTCGAGGAAAAGCAGATCTGGGAAGGTCTTCAGAGTTCTCTGTTTCAGTTCTGGCAGTCCGATGACGTTGCCGTACTTCCGCGCGGTCGACCCTTATTCTCGGTGATCTTGGCAGGTTCCTTCAGATGTTCCAGTTCGGCGACATGCCCCAGTCGCCTCCACATGCCTCGATCTGTGACATAGACAGAACCAGCACCAAAAGAGACCTGATCGGAACTGCCAGCGAAAGGGACCTGGCGGCCCTCCTCGGTCTCACCCTGGCTGGAACTTCCTGAGGAGAAAACGGAGCGCGCCTCTGTAGCCACACCCTGCCTGGAGCTGTCTGCGGAGGAGACGGGGCGGGTACCTCCAGCTGCGCTCTGGCTAGAACGTCCTGAGGAGAAGACATCTCCAGCCACGCTTTGATCTGGAGCAGAGTCTGAAGGCTGTGACTCCAGGACAGTCCGACATCACAGCAGTCCGACATCAAGGGCAAACTGAGTTCGTGGAGGGGCAAACAAGTGGAAAATAACAAAAGTATCCCCCAAAACATACGGTAACAAGCAGAAGCGGGTCCAGAGAGCGTTGCCATGGGGCATGCCCCCCCCCCCCCCCCGGGCCACGAAAGGGCCCATTAGCTGCGGGGGGCCGACAACCGGCCGAACAGGTGCAGTTTTTTAACACAAAACGCAACAAAACTGGGTATCTCTGGACTTTCAGGCGACCAAGAACAGTTGTAAGCGAACATGAAGGGCCTTTGAGAAGTCGCAAAAATTACTCAATGATTGGAAAAGTTGCGAACTGGAAATTTTAAGCCCTATTACACCGGCTAGGGCTCCATGCTGTTTCCGGGAAACTATATGTCACTTGCAGGTTCATTTCGGTCGTTTAGGAGCATCCCACATTGTCCTTCATTTCTTTGCATTTGTTCCGAGGGCCCTGCGCTGTTGTTGGGGCCCTTGCTGTTAGCGTGCCGAGGAACTCTTGTCAAATGCGGACCCTTCCTCGGATTATTTCCATTCGCCAGAAAGGCTCTGTGAGCGGTAGCCAGAGTCCCATACCTTAACCTGCCGGGGTACTCTCGGTTGCCCAGCGGCCCTTTACGTGAGTGTCGGTTAACCTACCGACACACTTGCGATATGCCCATGGGTGCTCTACATTGGTCTAAGGCGTTTCCAATTCTCTGTCACTTGCTTAGGGTCCTACACTGTTATCGGGGGCCCAGCTAATGGCCTGCTTGGGCGCACTCAGTCGTTTGGGGACCGTCTACACCTGGTTTTTGGTACTTCCTTTCTGAATGGGGGCCTACGCGTCTGTGGGGGGGGGGGGAGGGCTATCTGATAACCTGCTCGGGGACATTCGACCGTTCGAGGGGGGGGGGGGGGGGCTCTATATTGGGCCTTAGGCACATGCTATTTGAATGGGGCCATACGCAATTATCGGGGGCCCCTCTGTTCGCCTCCTCGCCCACACTGGATTGCTGGTGGGCCCTGCACATCGGTTCTCAGCGTTTGAATTTAGGACCCTCTGTCCGTATCGGGGTTATCTGATAACCTGTTCAGGTACACTCATCTTTCGGGGCCCTGCGAATGG